AAAAATGCTTACATGATGAATAGAATTTTGACATTATATGTTAAAAAATGAATGATTTGTTTCGATTTATAATTTAAAAAAACAATTTATTTTTATATTTTTTTAAAAAGTAAATCTATTCTAAAACTTATATAAGAGGTAGATTTAAAGATTTTAATTTTATGATAACCATAATTAGGGGTGTTCATATCCGATCAAATTCAATTGATCCGACTTAAACTGATCAAATCCAATAAAAAACCGATCAAAACCAATATAAAATTGGGTTGGTTTAAATTATAAAATTTTAAAACTGATATAATTTGTTTGATCTATGGTTTTATCTTCAAACCGCCTGAATTATCCGATTACAAAATAAAATCCAATAACAATATAATATTAATTTTTTGCAGTATTTTAAATTTTCCCTTTTTTTATTTTACAAGATAATAACTTCATTAATTTAATTAAAAAATAAAAATAAAACATCTCCATATTCCTTAAGTTATTTTTTCATTTTAATCATGCATTATAATCCTAATTTTTAACTTTTAATTCACTTGTAATTCTATTCTCTGAAAATTGGTTTGCGCCTTTACTTTTAGAATCCTAAATTTTTAATTTGTTCCTAAAATAATATTATGATTCTTCTAACTAAATTTTAAAAAAGTATTATTTTAAAAATCTTAAAACAATATAATAAATCTAGCCTTGATATTCTACTATTATTGGATATTTGGTTTAGAAGTTTTAAATTTTGATTATGAATGCTTCTAATCAATTTTAGTGATATTTATTTTTAACAGAATTTAAAAGATATGATTAAATTATTAGTCCATTAAGAAAAAAAAACTAATTTTAACATTTGAAAATTATTTACGCTGTGCTAAAAACTCGAAATCATTTTTTATTGTTCTTAGTGCTTCTAGTGATGAACCAAGAAAAATTTTTAAAACTTTTCAATTTTTACAAATGTAAAAGAATATAAAAACTTATTTATAATTTATACATTTTATTATGTTTTTACTAATTTAGATGTTAATATGTTTTATAATTATGTTTTCTATTTGATGTTAAAATATGTTTATATTATCTTATATATTTAATAATGATAAAAACCGATCAATCCGATTGAATCACACCGATCTAATTTAAATTGGATTGGATATGATTTATTATCATATAATAGTAAATTAAATTAGTTTAAAAACTTTATTAACCAATTAAATTAAATTAATTTAAAAAATATTAAAATTTAAATCAAATCACACAACAAACACCTTTAATCATAACCATAACCATATGTATTATAGCCCAATAAAAATCTTAAATATTCTTTGCCTATTTTTTAAAAGTGAAGGAGTTTTTTTAACGTTAAATTAAATTAAATTAAGTAGCAAATGGTTTTACTTAGATGCGGAACATGAGGGTCCCTTAGTGGGTGTTTTGGTTGACAACTTGATCTTCTTCTGTATTAAAGATGTCGAGTTCTAATTTTAAAACGAGTGAGGCATTTCAGAAAAAAAGGATATATTTTATACGTAAAAAAAACAGTACATGAGGTAATATAAGAAAAAGCACTCACAAACCGACATAAACAAGGCCACCGCCCTAATACAAGTCACTCTTCTATGATCTTTCTGTCCTAGATATACCATTCCCCAACCAAGTTCACACACAGCCCCAAACCTTTTCTCTCTCTCACAAATTACACCAAACTTTCTCTCTGAGCACAATTGTTGTCTCTTCTTCTCACACTAGTTTCTCTCTCTCTCTCTCTCTCTCTCTCTCTCTCTCTCTCTCACTCTCTCACAGACAGAGTATTCCGTACCGGTTCCTCATCAATAATGGCCTCTTTAGTGCTGGCAGTGCTCATTCTGGCCATGACTGGCCATTCAAGTATGTTCTTCAAATTATATTTTTCTGTTCGTTTCTTTGCTCTATTCTTTTTTCATCTAAAGATGCAAACCCATTTTTGCTTTCTGAGTGTGACCGTTAGTTTATCGTTTTTTTTTCTTTGTGTAAATCTATTATTTTGTTTGATTCGGGATGAACTTTCTTAGTGAACATCCTCATTCAACGTCTTTTTCTAAAATAAGAAAAAAAATTGAATATATTTTTCGTTTAAGGAACGAGAAAGAAAATGTCTTTTTCTTCTTTCCCTCTTCTTAATATTTTTTAATATTGGACGTACTCTTTTTCAAAGTAAAAATAGACTGAGTGAGCTTTCCTTTCCTTATCATCTGGGGATTCGTGCAGGTGCCACATGGTGCATTTGCAAGGATGGGTTGAGTGATTCAGTTTTACAGAAGACTTTGGACTATGCTTGTGGAGCTGGGGCTGATTGTAACCCAACTCATCAAAACGGGCCTTGTTATACACCCAACACGGTTAGGGCTCACTGTAACTATGCTGTTAACAGCTATTTCCAGAGGAAGGGTCAAGCTGCAGGCTCTTGTGATTTTACTGGCACTGCTACTGTCATTACAACTGACCCAAGTAAACCATTTTCCTCTCCCATCAACCAATTTCTTTTCTTTTTACACATTCATTTATCAAGTAGCAAAAAAGAAGAAAAGTTTAGAAAAAAGCAATAAACATAGATTTAATCTTTTTTCTTTTCTTTGTGGGTATTTTGCAGGCACTACTGGATGTAATTACCCCTCAAGTGTCAGGTAAATATGTACTTCACTTCTACCAGTGGGTTCTTCTCTTAATATTAGCCCTCTATACGTATTTAACGATCCCGATTTTTATAATCTGACTTGTTTTAAAGTCTACTGAAGACTACAAGACAGGTATCCAATTATCTAACATCATTTGAAATTTGTAAGTGAACTTGGTCTAAGTTATGCTCTTTTTCAAACCTAGTTTTTGTCTTTAAATTGAACTAATTGTTTTGGGATAAGGAGGTGATTTCAACTTTCCATCTAAAAGTGCGAAAATACGGAGAAGAATGGAGAGTTAACTCGGCAAAATTATTTTTTAAACGAAAATAAGGGTAAGTACAGGATTTAGTGCTATTATAAATATTAAATATTATTTCAATTTTTCATTTAAATTAAAAAAATTTAAATCTTTTTAAAATCACTAAATCTAATCCTCCAGTTGGTCTTTTTTTTTTTTTTTTAATAAAAAATCCTAATTAAAATTTAGTAGAGTTAGTTTGTTAGCAGCTGAAATTTTTTTCAAGAAAGTGAACGTTCCACCCTTCATTTGAGGCGCGCGACTATTAGGTTGCAAGTTTGTGGAGTTCACGGCGATGGCAGAACTCGAAACTCTGACTTCCGCCTCACCCAAGCCTTAAAGCTCGGCGACCAACCAATTGGGCCATAGGCCCGGTTGGCATCCTCCAGTTGGTCATTTTCATTAAAAATTCATAATAAAAAATCCTAATTAAAATTTTAGAAAGCCACCGAAATCCTTAAACCATAAATATTAAATATTATTCTAACTTTTCATTTAGATTAACAATGGTCCCAAATCTTTTTAAAATTACTAAATCTAATCTTCCAACTCGTCATTACCATTAAAAATTCATAATAAAAAATTTTAATTAAAATTTTAAAAAGCCATGACAGCCCTTAAATAAAAAAAATTTTCTAAATCATTTTTCTCCAACACCGAGCTTATATTTTATTTTTTTTAACATCGCTATTTTTTTTTTTTTTTGGGGAAACACCAAAGATCATGTTTCACTTCATTATTCGCCTTTTACTTAATGCAAGTCCCTGCTTCAATCCTATAAATTTTTTATATAACTTGATAATTTAACAATATAATAAATTTCATAACCTAAATATTTTTCAATTGTGAATTATTTATCATTCAAATTATTATTTTATAAAATATATCAAAAAATATAAAATGAAAATCTATCTCAAATTATAAGATTCTTGCATGTAACATATACATGATCCCTTACCCGTAAAGTAAAAAAATTCCCAAACTTTTTTCAAAAAAGAAGAGTTAGGTGCATAAAGAATTCAAAATTTAGTAAAAATAACTTTAGAATAATGAAAATTAAAATAATATTATGTAAAAATTTCTGTTGGACCTCCTAAAATTCTTGTTAAAATTTTCTTTTGAAAATTACTGAAAGTAATTAGCCCTAAGATTAAGTTTGGTAGTTTTGAAAAGGTTGGGGACTAAATTTGGTCAAAATGAAAGGTTCTAATATTTATAATAACGATTAATGACTAAATTTGGTATTTATCCAAAAAATAAAAAAATGAAAAAATATTCACCCGTAAGCAATCAGTTGCGGAATGCACGGACAAAGCATTCCTCAAATACGGATGGATAAAGGTGAAAAGTAATGGGATAACGTTTGTGAGAACTTATTTTTAGAAATGGAATTGTGAAAAATAAGTTATTTTGATAATTAAAATAATAAGACTATATAAAATTATTTAAATATTTTTAATAAATTTTTATTATATATTAATTTATTAAAAAATTTAAATTATATTATAAAGAATCTAAACATTTAAAATACCAGTATGTTCTATTTTCACTTCACCTTTCTCTTTTAGACATTCAAAGCGGAGAAAGTAAAGCATTGAATTTATTTAGTTGACAGGAGACTCAGGACTTTTATGGTGGCATTTGATATGACTCATAAAGCAAGCAAATATTGATTGTTCAAAGAAAACAGTCAATAATTGTGAATTGTTCTGTAGAAGCATTAGTAAATTTAAGCATTCAATGTTCTATAGTTTTAGGGGGCTGCTTAGATTAAGTAAGTGGGATGTAAACCCTGCTGCAGGTTTGAATTCCGGAACATCATTTGAGTGTAAAGGATTTTAATACGCCTCACACCTGATCCTTGAAAGAGCCTTAACTCAAGATACTTATGTTGTACCCAAAAAAAAAAAAGAATTCTTTTCGATCCAAACTCCAGGTAGGAAATTAGGGAAATTTTCATTTAAAACTCACAGCTTTTAGTTATTAGTTATTATGCTCACTTCCGTTGATTCCATGGCTTGATGCCATGGGCATCTTTCTCTCCATTATTGGGGAAATCCATTAACCAACATCTGTTCTGCCTTTTTCTTCTCTTTTTGGTCTTATACTAAATGAGTTCTTTTTGTCATTTTGATCGTATTTTAGAGTTAGATCCACTTATATAAGTTATTTATATAAAATTTTGATTATTCATCATTTCACTATAAATTGTCTTTTTTATTTAAAATTTTTTTTAATAAATCTCAACCATTGATCTTGAGATATAAATGGTGTTAAGGTTTTATGTAGATTATGTATCCTAACTCATAATTATAATTCATGATGGTGTTCTTGACTCAATGGGCCATTTTTATATTGTGATAAAGGTATGAGGAGCGACCAGCTTTTCCTCTTTTATAAAAGCTGTAGCAATTATTCGGAATTTGAAATCCTAGTGCATTGTCTTTTACAGTTTTACTAAAGCTTTGTGTGACTGAAATTGAACAGTAGAAAGTGTTGGCATCGAAATTAAACAGTTTTTTAGAGGGTTCAAATCCACCAAGTAAAAATTGTGGGTTCTAGCTTACATCATTTATCCCTCTTAGCTAGGGGAAAAAATGCCTTTCCTTTTGTTCCATGGCACTGGTTTTATGCTAACCATTTAAGCCCTTGGTTTAACATTCTCTTCCGCCATATCCCTGGTGCCTAAGTTACAGAGTCTGGGTTAAGTGTCGAAAAAGGATACGTGTTGGACAAAGTCCCTTAAATATTGGGTAGGATACAGGTACTTTTAGCTATCAAAACGAAGTTATATAACATATCAAGGGAAATATGAACGTATGCTTTTCAAAAAAAAAAAAAAAAAGGAAATATGAACGTAGAACAGATTTAGTTTGCCTTTTGATGTGTGTTTAGATGAGATATTAGCATGTTCTTCCACATTGCTTCTACTTTATGGAGAAAGTCTGCTGTATCCCCGGGATACAGCAACGTGGTATCCCAACCCAATGGGAAAACACCACATCAACAATTTTTTCAGACTTCATCAATCCCAAACCCAAAAAACAACTGATGTGGTGTTTTTTCATTGGGTTGGGATACCACGTCTGCTGTATCCCGGGATACAGCAGACTTTCTCCTACTTTATGAGGCCATGTCTGGCTCAAAATTTGTAACCACAGATGGTGTGGGAAATTCTAGTGTCCGCATTGCAAGAAAAACGAAAAAGGTTGCTGCCACTTTCAAAGGTAGGACAATCTCTCTCTCTTTCTTTTTTTTTTTCTTTTCTTCTTGGATTCCTAGAGTCACCTCAATTCAAAAGCCCTTGAGATGGACAAAAAATGGTTTCTTGAGATTTGAGCTATACTTTTTGAAATTTAAGATTCCTCGATGGCTGTGCACGTGTAGTCCTACTATCGGTGGTCCCATGGAATACCAGTTTTGTGGAGGTGCATTATTGTTTCTCTTCCAATCACCTTTTTTCTCTAAGGCTCAAAATGGAGGCATAAACAGAACATAAGTGGATGACTAGATTCTCTTCAGTAAACTACTAAAATTGAGTAATTAAAAGGGTTCTTCCCAAATTAAAAAAAAGAAAGTAATTAAAACGGTTGATTGGGGTGGTTCCATATATGTTATAAAAGTGGGAATCATCAGCTTAATAAAATGATGACACAACAAACAAATTTCGTGATTCTTTTTGGCTGTTGTTTAAGATGCTTGTTTTGAGCTTCAACTGAAGTTGCCTGAAACATAGCTATCTGTTTCTCCTTGTTCATATGTCAAGAAGAAAGATGAAGATCCTAGCCTGCAATGCATAATCAGCTACCTTTAGTCTTATACTGCTATCCCCACTTTAAACTTCACTTCTTCCTTTTTTTTTTTTGGTAGAAAACTTCACTTCTTCCTTATTTTTACCTTCAATGGGTTATCATGGTACGATATATATTGCAAAAGGATCCCAAAGTTTTTCCATCTAATTGTTAATGAAGTTTTGGCATCGTTTCATATTGGCGAAGGCAAATCACATGAAATCTTCTCTTTCAGGTTTAAGTTCTGATATATTCATACTCCATTCTGTACTAATTTCGTTTGGTTTGTATTTTAGTTCACAATGATATGCTGATTAGTTGATTTGTATTAGATTTGATATGAATGACAACTACTACCAACCCAAAAAAAATTTTTGCAGTTCAATTTGTCAAAACAAAAGGGTGTAGGGTTTGAATCTTGAAGCAATTGGTAAACAAAATAGTAAGGACTAATGGAAAAGGAGTTGAAGTTTGAGTGGCTTATTTGAGGTTTCTGTTCTATATCATATTTTTAGTTTCTTTCCATTTCCGTACTTCAATAATTGTTTTTAAATATCTAGTTTTGCTAGAAAAGTTGTAACTCTTCCCTCTTTTTTCTTGGTTCAGCACTGCAGGCAGCACCACAGTAACCCCGACTCCCATCACCACCACACCAACAACCACCACAACACCATCAACCACGACACCCACTACTGCAACACCATACAGCGGAACACCAACTGGAGTGCTAGGAGGAGTTGGCACTGGCTTGGGTCCATCTGGGACCAGCACAGACTACAGTGATGGTGGGTTCAGACTCCAGCTGTCTATCAGTCTGTTCTCATTCTTTACAACCCTCTTGATGCTTTTGTGGGTTTGAGAAAAAAAAATATGGCAGCAGGGCTTGTGGCCACGTTAGTGGGGCAGGGGTGGTTGCTGTTGGTGATGGTGGTAATGGATTTCGATGTCCATTACCTGGGTTCCATGTGATTCTGCTGTTTATCTATAGATGTCTTAGTTAAGTTTTTGTTTGTTTCTCAAATATATTCTATCTGGGGCAAAAGATCGGCGTAGTGTTGATATCTTTCTGTCTATGTCTACTGTGTTTTTTCTCCCTGTTTCATATACATTCAGATCTGGAAAGCAGTAAATTATTACTTCTATGAGAATTTGGCGCCTGAACATCTTACTTGGTACTGGGACGGATTTAGTTTTTACTTATGTAAAGGGCTGGTTTAGTAACGTTTTCGGTATTTTACTTTGGTTCTTAAAAACTTAAAAATGTTTAATAAAAATACAAAAAAAAAAAAAAAGGCCTATAAAAAAATAAAAATTGGGCGAGGGTCGTGGTTTTCTTCCAATGGAGTTGTGAGTCTCCGAATGGGGTTTTCTACTTGTTTTGAAGACATCGCTGGTAGGATGGAGTGGACCGTTGCTAGTTTTCTTGGGGCTCTTGGTCTTATTCATGGCGAAATTAAAGTTCTATGGATAGCAGCGAAAGTTCCATGGATGGTATACTGGTTTTCTTAGACTTGACGGTGGGATGGGAGGAATGGCAGCCAAGAGACGAAGGCAGTCCGGGAGATCAGGGATGTAGCGTTGAGACAGCGGGACCTAGGGCTTTCAAGCAAGCGGGACCTCCATTTGGTTCAATTCTTTCTCGGCAATCGCTAATTGGGATAAAGGTAAATAATTAATTACGAGATAAATGGTGAAAATTTTATAATATTAATAGATGTAAAATTAATGCTATCTCTTTTTTTTTTTGAACGCAAGGGAAGCAATGCATTAAGAACTACCATACGGCATCTACATCAAAGTCTTATCCAAAGGGATAAGAGTATCAGACAATGAAAGAACAAACTGGAGAAACAAGGCAGAGTAGACCTGATGCAGAGGAGGAAGGGAGGTGAAAACACTCGAGCAACCTGTGGTTGACTGATCCAGCTATGGGACACCCTTCAATTTACTCGGGAGAGGATGGCGTGAAATCTCCAAGACGCTGCGGCAGGGATCTAGACCGGCGGTGGGCAGATCTGGAAAAATCAACGAGCCTCTACCCAGATCAACAGGAAGAGTTAAGGGTCGCCAGAATTGTAAAAACAAGCTGTACAAGAACACAAAACAACACAAACAACGAGAAAACAGAAAAACCGAAAGGGGTCACCAGAAAGGGACCCAGAAACCGACAGACCCTGAAGGATAATCGGAGGAGGAAGCACAGGCCGGCTCCAGCATGCTTGAGCAGCTAGGGAGCTCAACGACTCAAGCATCAAAACCTCGAAAGCTCAAAGGCTTTCGATCAAAACAAACGCAGCGCCGGAGAAAGGAGGCAGAAGCAATTAATCCTATCTTTATATAAGTCTGGATTCTAACTTTATATAAGGCAAAAATATTACTACCTCCAACTCAAAATAACTTTGGTTTTTTTACTCTATTTTTTTAAAATTAAAAATTTAAAGATAATTTATATATTTATCTATATTATTTTTAAAAAAATTAAAAAAATAAAATGAAATTTTTTGTAATAGAATAACTAGTTAAAGTAAAAGAATGATAATAGAATTAAATAAGAAAATAATATTTGTCTACTTTAAAAAATAAAAAATGATAATTAATTTAAAATAAATTCAAAATAAAAAAATAACAATTATTTGTTTTTTAATTTATAGGATATAGCACGTGATTCAATCGATAGGGGAAAGGAGTAGGAAGAGGGGTTATATAAGTTTGAACCCTTGGTAAGGTGAGAAGGCCTTTTTATATTTAGAGATTTGACTTGTGTATATCAATGTCTTCCTTAATGGTAGTTATTTTGGAACAAATAGAGCAATAATTAGAACTTTTCCTATATATAATTAGAATTCACCTAGATACAACTTTTATACATATTATTTATATAAAATCTTGATAATTTATCTTTTTATTATGAATTGTTGAGGTTTATCATGACTTTTTCTTATATTTTAAAAATAATTGTCTTTTTTCATATAAAAAGTTAGTATTATTAGTCAAATTTTTAAAATATTAGGAGGAAAAATACCTAAAAACTAAATCATTTTATAAAATATTATAAGAAAATAAAATAACAATCTCATTTTTGCTTTAAAAATAAATTATCTTGTCTTTTCAACAATAGTTTATTGAAACAATATAATTTGAATTTTCTTTCGGCCTTCTAGTCTTTTAAATGTCCAGGTTATAAACACATTTCCTCTATGTGTGTGCGGGTGCACACATGTATATAAATTTTGAAATTGACTTTGGTAAAATAAGTGATAAGATTATAGGGTAATCACTAACTAAAACATGTCTATGTGTGAGATGTGTGCATCACTTCTTGTGCTGAAGTATTTAGTGTTTTTTTGTTCATCTTTTTTTTTGGGGGGGAGGCTTTTAAAACAACTTGGTTTGAAACTCACTTTGGCCTAACAATTCTTTGTGTCAAAATCCATGGTTCTTCAAAAGTTAAACCTCAAGTTATTAGTAGTAATTGGTTATAATAATTATATATTGATCACACTCACATTTTTATCTCGATATCAGATTCCCGATGTCATAATCTTTTTCACTTAAATACTCAATATTTTCATTCAACCTAATCATAATCAGAACAAAGCTCACCGATCCACAAGCATAGGATCCAAGTTAAGTAATGTTTAGTCCATGCTACCATCAACCATAATGGTCAATATGGGCCTATATCTACTAAAGATAATTGTTCTAATACCAATTGAAATTATCTTGGTCAAAACTTGCCATTGCCCAAAGTTCACAAGCCCTCAAAAACTCAATTATAATTGTTGTTAATAATAGTTGATTATAACAATTATATATCTCACACTTACAATTCTATGCTAATGTGGGATTTGAGATGTCACAACCTTTAAGAACAAACGAATTGAATGATGGGTGAAGAGTGTGGGGATTTTTAAGGAGGCTGTGGAATACCAGTCAAATGTCTCATCTAAAGAGGTTTATATTTTAGGTGAAATTGTTTGGCAATAGAAGGTGTGGGCAAAGGTCAGTTTTGGGATGTGGCTAGACAGATGGTGATGGGCAAGTTAGTGTCTTACTACTAATGGAGTTATGTTCTAGTCTTGTAGTTTTTGGTTTTAGAGGTGCTAACTATGATTATGTTTCATCCATAAGATTTGAAAATTAAAGAGAGTGGTGTTGTTGGAGTTGTTTAGGGTATGTTGGCATTGCTTTTTTCTTTTTTTTTTTTTGTCTCACAATCTTTTTTGCCAACAAAGGTGTGGACAAGTGCTTGGTTGAAAGTTTGGCTATAGATATTTCAAAAATCTCAAAATATGAGGCATTGATGATGAAATGATCTATCTATTGAGTGAAAGTGAGATTGAGATATCGGGATTGATGGCCAAAAAATTCAAATACCTTTTAATATTAGAAATAGCACCTAGGAGCTATTGTTTCTGTGCAATACTTTCAAACTTATCATATAGTCAATATTTTTCTAACCACTTTTTAAATAAAAACATTTTCAAAAAAAAAAATGCCCATAAACTGAACATGCTGTATATATCATCAACACTACTAGGGGAAAGAATAAAGATGTTTTATCTAGAAAATAAAGGAATGAAAGTATTCCACTCTTTCAAAGTAAAGGGATGAAGGATTTACGTAACCCTTTTTTAGATTGTAAAGGCAATGAAATATTATTTACACTATAAATAACACTCAATCTAAGGTTGCCACATCATCAATATTTTATAGCTAGTCTAGAATTAATTTCCCTATAGTCTAGGTCGTAGTTGCTATGGTGGTATAGCACAATGTGGCAATAGGTGGCTTAATCCTACCTTTTAATGAGATTAATTTGTGATTTAATTAAGTTGAGAAAGTTATAGAGTTTTAATGGAAGAAGATTTTGTGGGTGTATTTGAGTTGAATTAGGTAGTTGGAAGGATTTTAGTAGGAGATCATATTAGAGTTAATTGGAGTTGGTTAGGAAATCAAATATGGTTGGCACTAGCAAACTTGAAGTAGAAGTAGGAAATCTCGTTACCATGTGAATAGCCAAACACACATAAAGATTGGTGAAGAATGACCAAAAATCATGTGGAACACCTCCAGCAACAAGGTAAAAACTATCTCCTTCGACAAAATTCAATTTTTTAGGTTTGCCCTTATTAGAAAATTACCTAGCATGTGCTAATTTTAATTCCATATTAGTTTAGCCTACCTTCAACATAGTTTCCAAATTACAATTCTAAATCTTACTCATGTTCATAGCTTTAGTTTGCATTTTCTATTTGTTGGAGGTTTGCTCTTCTTAAGAAATTTCTAAAATCAAGCAAATCTATAGCATGTTTTCTAAATTGAATATTTGAGACCAAATCTTACTTAGTCTTCTTGGTTAGCTTTTGTTATTTGATTTTAGTTTACTTAGTTTCTAAGATTAGAGACTAGTTTTCATGTTGTTTTGTAATTATAGTATGTTCTTAGCTTGCGTAGGTTCTTCTCACGAGTTTAGTCTATAAATCTATCAATAGTAAATTTTAGATCTAATTTATAGTTGTTTAGAGTTTTATAACTACTTTTAAGTTATCTTAATGCAATTATGTTTTTGTATGCTTCAAAACTCCTATTTATTTCCATCTCTTCTCTATGTTTTTATTGTCTTATCTCTTAGTAGGATAATCTACTTTATAATGTGACTTTTTCTATATGTTTGCACATTGATTTCAATTTGCATGTATAGTTCATTAGTTTGTGTATTTAAGTTTGTTTTTTAAGTATATTCCTTTTATCTATCCTATCAATAAATTAATTTAGTTTGTAATATAGTTTTTTGAATAAGTATGTAAGTCTGCCAATATTCTTTTTGGCTACAAGTATAAATTTCATTAGTTTGCATAATTTTTAGTTAATGTGTAGCTTTGTCATTCCTTTAGTTTATTCTATGTTTTAGGTCTATTCCATAGCAACATTTGGTTTTAATATATTTTTTAATTGCCATGTTTTTAATTTTCTTTTAATTGTCTATGTTTTAATTGTTATGTTTCTCTCCTTTACATATAACTCTTGATGTAGGAAGTCCGTAATGATTTTCTAAGGCATCATTTTTAACACATTGTGCAAGAAAGCATCTCTCCTTCTAACCAATTGTCTAGTCTAGGATGCATCTCTTTATTAAATTAACGTTCTTCCCACCATTCAACTTTGAGGTTAATCACTTGAAAGAAAATGGTTGTTAAGAAAGTCATTTCCTTCCTTTTGCTACAAAGCAAGTGACAGACCTGAACACATTATCATGAGACAACCAAAAGGAGGATTTTTGGAGAAATATGTATAATATATATTTAACCACCTTATACAATAAATATAAATTAAGAAAAACCTAGATAAACTTCAAGTATATGGGAAATCGAACATATAATCCCAAGACTTTAGGCCTTTAACTAATCAACTTAAGGCCTCATCGACAATTCTACCTCTTTTCTTTCCATTCAAAAATTATAATATATAATTATTAAAAAAAATTATTGCATATGTTGAGAAATAGTCTTTCTTGTTCATTTACCCGACCACATTGAGAGCAAAATGTTAATATTTACTCCTTAAATTACTTGAATTATTGAAGTTCTAGATGTTGGAATCAACCCTATGGTGTGAGAGATAAACTTCTAAACGAGTTTGGGAATTTCACGCCTTCATAGTGTGAAAAAAAATTAATTCTACCTCAAAAGTGGCAACCATTGGGATTTGGGTGATGAAATCAAAGTGAAGAATCAAAGGCAACTCAATCGATGGCAACAATTCATGTACAACAAGTTCATTTTTTAGCATGGGATCTAATTTCATGGACTCTAAACTTAAGTAGGAGGATTTGAACTTTTTACTTCAAATTAAACTCTAATATTGCAACCAACAATGACTATAAGTTATTAGTAATCTTACAACATTAAAGTGTGGGGAAATACCAATTATGGATTAATCTCACCCTTTACAAGAGTGATGAGTGCGAGAGTGCCTTTACTCTAGCTATTGAAATGGCGAGATTCTTCTACCCAAAATGTGTTGAGAATGGTTTTTAATCTCTTGACAATTAGTTAAGTGTTGATGTGGCCAATTTTCCCATTTAACATAAGGGTATGACTAAAAAGTACTAAAAATTCAAGTTTAAGGATCATTTTGGTATGTTTAAAGTTTAAAGACCATTTTTCTATTTTTTCAAGATCCAAACCAAATCAACAAATACCTAAAAAAAGTCATAGGTAAACATATTTTTAATATTTTCTTAATTGAAATTATTTTATTTCTAAATGTTAGTAGTAAAGTGAGAGCTTTTTCACTTCTTCAAAT